ATCTGTGGAGGTTTATGCCTTTAAACGGCCACTTAATATTAAGCTATTGATTATATCATAAATTTGTGTTGTAGTAAGGGTAAATAACGATGTTAGTAAAATGAGTTTATAGGAAAAAAGGCGAAATAATGATAGCATTTGAAATACATTCATAACTTTAGTTTTCCACGAATATCAGAAAAAATTATAATTATGATATCTTTTCAGGTTATGTGTGAGCAAGCGTTATGTTTAAATCTTACAAATGAAAATGCCTGTGAAACACTGATACTTGCCGATTTACATAGTGCTGAACAGTTAAAACATCAAGCCATAGATTACATCGTAAGTTTATTGTTGTTGTACGAGTAGACGATTTGTAGAGGAAATGAGATGGAATTTTAATTAAATTAAATGATAGAGAAAAGAAAGCAAATGTGAAAAAGAAGAAAATTATCAATAAAAGAAAAAAAATTATATATGTAAAATATTATTTTGATTTACATGTCCGGTACTGTTGATTTCTACTGATTGTTTGTGTTATTAATATCTTACTTATATATTTACTTAATTCACTTTACATTTCCTGTAATATCTTAATAGTTAATTCTTCAGCAGGTAAATGGTTAAAGAGATTTGTGATGAGAATTTAAGTTTCATGTGTTCCAAAGATTAAGAAGCATATGTAGTTATTGACCATTTCTTTTACATTTTATGATTATAATTGAAATTCCTACTCCATATTCAACAATTTAATAGGAAAAGATCACCTGGAAAAAAAACATGGTTGTTCAGTTGCTGAATGCAGGATGTTTCTCAAAAGATATGATCGGCTGTACCATGCATTATCAATTTAGAAATATTAATCATTGAACTATTCTCTCTTATATTTATTGGTCAAATAATGTATTGAATAATAATAAGCGTGAAAAATTCCAGAATGTTCATGCAAATGAGATTATGGAATCGGATGGTTGGGGTTGTTTGGTACGTGATCATCCACCATTACTCGCTGAAGTGTTTCGTGCATTAGCAACTCAACAAACGCCACCAATCATTATGAGTCATCCACCGCGGAAACGTCTGAAACATTTGTAGCTTCTGCTTTTATTTTTGCATATGAAAGTTAACACGCGTTAATTTTCTACTGTACAACACATATGCATACCTAAAAGTAAAAAAATAAAGAAGTTGCTGAAAGAAAAAAAAATGAAGCATTTAACAAAATATGGTATGAAAAGAAGAATGGGAAGAGAAGAGTTATTGACTATTATTTATTTCCGTTTTTCCTGAATGTTTTGCACGAATAGATCGGAATTGTAAAAAGAAGAGTGACAATTAAGAATCTTATGGGTACATTATGATTCAGATATTTTATGAATTTGATGATATAGTAGCTAAGAGGAACATCACAGTATCATGTTATAATATTGAATTGGCAAATTTTTTAGTTCACGGAAATAAATTTTCAAAATTTGGAGAGTATTTTCATGACAAGTAATGGTTTTGACACTTTTCTTTCTATTCTGCCCAGATTTAGCTTTCTGAAATGGGCTCGATCACTTTTAACCTATAAGTTAATGTTGCTTATCAGGTGGCGAAGTTGTAGTGAAATTCAAGAAAGCGATTTGATTTTGCTTAAAAATGCAACTAAAAGTGTTGGCGATTATTGCTTGTTATAATTCAGTGGCTGAAGAGATTCTTGTTGACCACACGGTTATTTCAAGATTGATGGGATTGGTGACCATTTTAAAATGGATAAAGATTAGTAAATTTCTTCTTTGCAAAAGAATGGAAACGAGAGATTCAAGGTTAACAATTTGTTGATCCATTCATTAATGTGTTGGAGAAATTTAATGATCAATTTGCGGTTTCAAAAAAAGTCTATGACTATGTAAATTGTCTTGTAACATATGTATTAATTAATATATTGATTACTACAGTGCTAACTGGAGATATCGATACGTGTAATTGATTTACATGTTAGAATGTCAAATTTCACAATGAATTCATTTCTGGCAAACTATATAAATGAAGTATTTTCATCATTTTCAATTTTATATCTTTACAAGCATTGATGTGGATTGGTTGCTTTTATTAAACATTTAGCAATTAATTGATTTAACAATGTCTTCCAATGTTTGTTCCGAAGCATCTATTAATTTACCACCGGTTGATCCGGTTTTCTTAACCTGGGAAGATTTATCGGTAGTTGCAAAGAAAACAAAACGTCTATTACTCCATAATGTTACCGGAATTGCTGAACCGGGGCAACTAATTGCCTTAATGGGTGCAAGGTTTACAAGTTTTGGTCCTTCCATCTAAAGAAATGAATGGCTAATCTTTTAATGTGTCTCGTCCAATTCTTCTCTGACCTAATAAATAAACATTTTGAAAAAAAAAAACTGAAAGGGAAGAAAATTTGAAATTTAAATCAGTGTATTAAAAAATTTTAAATTTTTAAAGTTGGTATGAAAAAAGTTCTTAAATTTAAATTATAAAAAAGTTTTTGAAACATTTTGATTATACTTTTTCAATGATGATGAATGTTAATCTAAAATTTACTGCAGTGGTGCTGGAAAAACGACATTATTGAATGCTTTGCTACAACGAAATGTAAAAGGTTTAAGAATTAGTGGTGTTGTCAAAGTAAACGGTCAAATAATCGGTCGAAAAATTACTAAGGCAATTTCGTCCGACTATTCTTTTTCCTCTCATGATAGTACAAAATTTAAATTTATTTCTTTCCTTCTTCAATATTTTTTATATGATTGTTTGCAAATTAATCATTTTAAAAAAGTAAAAACCAAAAAAAAAAAATTGCTCAGTATTTTTTGTGCATACGATTATTTACAAACTATAGTAATAATTATATGTAAATACACTTGTTAACTTGAGAAAAAAGAAGTGGATGAATTCAATTATAAAATAATTGGATTAATTAATGGTTTACGTCATTATTTTCCTTGTAATTTGTTGATTTTTAGGTTTCTGCTTATATTCAACAACAAAATTTATTTATCAATTCTTTAACAGTTCACGAACATCTCATTTTGCAAGCCACTCTTCGTTTGCCATCATCTTTTACAAAACATAAAAAAGAATTACGTGTAAAACAAGTAATTTGTTTG